AAAGCCAAGGGCGGGAGGGGCAAGGGTCCAGCCGGCAGGGCCAGAGTCCTAGGGAGCCCAGAGGGCGTGGGGAGGGCTGGTGCCCACAACCGGGGTCCCTGCCCCTGCACTCACCGGCAGTGGTGAAGGAAGCAGAGCTGCACAGTCCCAGGCACAACATGGCCAGGGGTGCGGAATGAGCTGGGGCCACATGGCTCAGCTTCCCCTGCCACTGGTTCCAGTGCTGCCAGTGCCCCTCTCTTGCACTGCTAGACCCCTGGCCTGGCTACGCCCCCAGGCTGCATCAGCTGGGGGAATGGGCGGGGCTTGGGGTGGAGGGGGGTTGTCCCAGCTGTTCCCTGGGCTGGGGGGGTCACATGGCTGGTGCCCCCCATTCCCCCTCCCCATTGCAGCAGCGGGAGCTTCCTTGACCAAGGTCCTGGCCCAGCTGGGGTAGCCCTGGCCTGGCAGCAGGTCCCATGGTGGGGTTCTTGGAGGTTACCCACGTGTCAATGTCTCCCGGCAGGGCAACCTGGAGGATGGGCGGATCATCGACACCTCGCTCTCGCGGGACCCCCTGCAGGTGGAGCTGGGTAAAAAACAAGTGATCCCTGGTACGTTCTCCTTGTCTCTAGTACGGAGGGAGGCTGGGCTGGGCCTCCACACATCTGGGCTGAGGTTCTGTCTTTGCCATTGACTGAATGCGTGCCCTTGTCTCAGGTCCTTATCCCCACCTGCGAGGGGCCGTGCCTTTCTTCTACCCTTTGCCATGTCTGCAGAGCAGGAGATCCTGGGGCAGAGGCAGTTTCTCCCTTTGTACCAGTGCAGCGCCTAGCATGACTGACCCCCCCGCTCTGTTGGGGCCAGTGCAACATCTGGCATGATGGGAACCCTTGTTCTCAGGTGGGGCCTACAGTTGTAATTGGCCTCCTAAGTGCAGTGGATGTGCAGGAGTCTCTTCCAGCTGGTCTCTGTTGGCACCTGCTGGAACGCTCAGCTGTCCAAAAAGCCCCCTGCACTGATACAAACTGGCTATTCTCTGGAACCCGCTGACACGTTCCCCGGCTTGTCCTGTCGGCAACCATGCAATGAGGGGCTGTGAAGGAGCCACATACCCTTGCCCTGGTACTTGTGTGACAGAATCTGCCCTTCCAACCAATGTCCCCTCTAATGTTTCAATCTGTGTGGAATAACTTTTGTTATGTGCACCATCACATGTGCAGTGGTGCACCACCAGTAGAAACATGCAATGGGTGCTCTGCTAATCAGCTGAATGGCATTTGAATCTCAGCTGGGTGGCTGCCCATGCTCTCAGCTTAAAGGGAACACTGCTCCCAACCCCACCCCTTGTAGACATTCAGTAGAGCCTGGGTGGGGAATGGGACCAGCTGGGAGGGGGGAGTATTAGGAATTCCCTGGCTTAGCTCAGGCTCAGGTTTGAGAGGTTTCTGGCTCCCAGTTCCCTGGCCTGCCAGCCCACACTATTGCTCATCCTCCTGCGGTGCCACGAGTCTGACAGAGCTCAGCAGGGCCACAGGCTCAGAAAAGAGGCCTGCTGGGACCAGGGCTGGGAAGATGAGTGATCTCAAAGTGGCCCCGTCACCCAGGAGGGCGACAAACCTTTCTGAGAATCCCCCTGATCTGTGTCTCTTCTTCTGTGGTTTTTCCCTCCTCCCAGGCTTGGAGCAAAGCTTGCTAGACATGTGCGTTGGGTAAGTGATGCCCTGGCTTGTTAGCAAGAGCAGTGGTGGTGTGGCTGGGGAAAGGCATCCTGGCTCAGTCACTCTTAGCCAAAGCAATAGACAAGAGGGGGATCCCCCAGTGCCCCACCCCCGCTCCCACTATGGGGCTCCACATGGAGCTAGTGTATCGTGGATCAGCAGAGTGAGCAGGGGGGCTGGACACACACAGGCAATTCAAATCAGGTCAGAGCTTAGGACGGGAGCCAGCTCTTTGCTGTGACTGCATTTTCCCTCAAGGAAGCAGGGCCTGGGTCGCAGTGTGTGCTCATCTCCAGGCACAGGAAGGGCTCCCTGCCTGCCCTCTGGCCTGGGCTGCCTGCTGGGGGCAGGGCAAGGAGCTCCTTTCATGATGGGAGGTAGCCACGGGCCTGCAAGCTCTTGGAGATGAGTACACAGCTCTGATGTTAGACCTCCCATGGCTGGATCGGGTCTGGGTGTGGATGCAAAACTGCACAGGAGGCTGCTCTCAGTCACTGAGCCAATGTTCCAACCACCTGCCACTGGCCATGCTGCCTTGGCCCCTCTGATGTGCCCCTCTCTCTCTCTGCCTGGCAGGGAGAAGCGGAGGGTGATCATCCCACCTCACCTGGCCTATGGCAAACGAGGATCCCCACCAGCTGTCCCAGGTAACCGCCCCTCGCTGCCACCACACCTGCCCCTCCAGGCCAGCCACAGGATTGTTCCTTAGTCTGCCTGAGTTGCAGAGCCAAGCCCTCATGTCCCCACCCCAGGGCTAGGCTCAGGGCTGGCTCAAGCCGTTCCTGCGCCCTGGGCAGTGGGCACGGGATGCATGCGTGGCCCCGCCCCCTGGCGCGCTGTGCATCTTACAGCTGCAATCGGGTGCACAACGCCGGATTGCAGCTCTAAGGGGCGCTGTGCAGCCCCCGACCCCAGGCGCGTGGCACCTGATTGCAGCTCTAAGGGGCGCTGTGCAGCCCCCGACCCCAGGCGCGTGGCACCTGATTGCAGCTCTAAGGGGCGCTGTGCAGCCCCCAGCTCCAGGTGTGCGGTGCCACATTGCAGCTCTAAGGGGCGCTGTGCAGCCCCCGACCCCAGGCGCGTGGCACCTGATTGCAGCTCTAAGGGGCGCTGTGCAGCCCCCAGCTCCAGGTGTGCGGTGCCACATTGCAGCTCTAAGGGGCGCTGTGCAGCCCCCGACCCCAGGCATGCGGCACCTGATTGCAGCTCTAAGGGGCACTACGTGGCCCCCGGCCCCAGGCACGTGGCGCCTGATGGCAGCTCTAAGGGGCATTGCGTGGCCCCCGGCCCCAGGTGTGTGGTGCCTGATTGTAGCTCTAAGGGGCGCTGTGAGCCGGGCGTGCGGTACCCCTTACAGCTGCCATCAGGCGCCCCCCATAGGTTGGTGCCCTGGGCAGCTGCCCAGCTAGCCCCCCCGCTTAATCCGGCCCTGGCTAGGCTACTGTTAGGTGTGTCCCTCGCCACCTCCCAGCCCTCTGGTTACTCACCAACTCCTGTCACAGACTCTGCTCCCTGGTGCCAGGTTGCCAGACACCCGGATGTTGTGTCCGCCATGGCCCAAGGAGGGAGGGAGCTTGGGCTCGGTAGCCCCTTTAGTCCTTGGCCTGCCTGGAGAGGCTGCAAGAGCTGCAGCCACCTCATTTGCTCTGGGCGTGGCAGCCTGGGGATGGCCTGCTCGGGGGACTGGAGCAGTACTGGTCCTGTGTCAGCTGTGCCAGAACCACTCCTGCCCCTGCCTTGTGTGTGGGGAGCTGAACTCAGGCACGTGCCCTCTCTCCCCAGCTGACGCTGTGCTGCAGTTTGACGTGGAGCTGGTCGGCCTCTCCCGCGCCAGCCACTGGCAGAAGCTGACGAACGACGTGCTGCCCCTGCTCTGCCTCGTGCTGGTCCCAGGCCTGCTGGGCCTGATTGGCTACCACCTCTACCACAAGGCCAGCACCCCCCCGGGGAGGAAGAAGAGGCTCAAGGAGGAGAAGAGAAACAAGGCCAAAAAGAAATAAATCTCTCCCCGGCGTCAGCACCTGCTCTGTGGCTGCTTGTCAGGCGCCTGTGGAGGAGGGGCCAAGGCAGCAAGATGGGCTTGAACCCTGCAGGTCAATGCGGGGGCGAAGGCAGCTCCCAGGGCTTAGACAGGGTAGGATGAGCGAAGGCATCTCGCTCACTCAGCTGCTTGGCAGGACCTGGCCTGCAGAGCTGCGCCAACCAGGCTGCTTGGATGATGCCCTCAGCTCCCCTACACTTACAGGCCCTCTGTATGGCCCAGGGCAGCCCCTCACTGCCTCTGGGCCTGGAATCAGGCCTGCCTGGGTGGCGGGAGAAGAGATCCCTGCACCCACCCCTCACATCCCCTTTCTCTGCAGCTGGCAGAAGGGAGGCTGGGCTGGGTTTAATGCTGGCGGAAGCAGCCAGGGTTTCCCAACCTGTGGGTCGCCATTACATTTCGAAAGGGTCGCCAAGTGTCTCCCCAGGTGGCTCTGTCTCCCCTCCTCCCCCTGGTGTTGAATTGCCCTGGGTCACCAAGTCTTCCTGAATTGTCAAAATGGGTCCCCATCTGGAAAAGGTTGGGAACCCTGATTCCACCAGGCTATTCCCAGAGCAGGCCAGGGGGCTCAGCCCCACCCCCGAGAGCGGAGGAGGAGTCATCCCTGGCTCAGACTGGAGATGTACACTGCAGGGGCCAGTCCCCTGGGGTGCAGCCGGCGCTGCCGTAGGCCTCACACCCATCAGCCACTGCAGTCGGTTCAGCCCTTTAATGGCAGCTTCCCATGGCCGAGGCGTTTCCCCAGCGAGCGTGCCAGCCCCTCCGGGGAAGCGCTCGCCGCTCCGTGGGCCTGACTCCCAGCTGCAGGTGCCAGGCAGGAGCTGCTGCAGCTCGCAGAGTGCTCTTCCCAGCATGCCCCGGGCTGGCTCACAGAATGTGCGACACCTCGTGGGCGGCCTCAGTGATGTTGTAAAGGGGCCGTTTGCAGGCGGCTTTCCCGGCAGGCCCAGGCGCCTGGGGCTTGCGGTGGAGGATCAGCAGGGGGTTGAGCTGGCTGAGCACCTCGTCGCTCACCGAGATCCCGTCCAGGTACTGCTTGAGCAACAGGCGCAGCCTCTGGTTCTCCTGGCCCAGCGCCGCCTTCTCACGCTCCAGAGACAGCTGCTCCAGCTTCACCTTGTTGTACCTCTGCCAGAAGTGCTCCAGGCCCAGGTAGTGCTGCATCAGCTACATGTGGAAAGGACAGAGGGACCTGAGGGTGGCAGCACTGCTTGGGGAAGACTCCCCTCATGCACCCCATCTTGTGCTGCTTGTCTGCTCCACTAAAGGGCACATGGCTCGCAATCTCGCCAGCTGCCTGTCATGGCACCAGCTGTGCCAGCCTGTCCCCCGCCACCCCTGCCTTCCTCTTGCTGGGGGAGGCATGTACCCAGTTGCATCTGGGCTCCTGCCCTACTTCCAGTGCCCTGATGGGGAGGAGTCTAGGGCTAGGCCAAACGCTTTCACCCCTTACTTGGGCCAGTGGCTCCTCAGGCTTCTCCAGGGAGACTTGCTCCACCTGTTCCTGCTCCTCCCTGCTCAGCAAGGAGGCGTAGAATGGTAGCACCTTCTCCTCCTCCGTCTCTAGCTTCCGACACATCTCGGCCAGCCTCAGGATGAACTCTGCCTGCGTGGCAAGCAAGGTTGGGGACAGCTCAGCGTGCAATAGAGAATGGCTGTGTCCTTTGGACACCATGTGTCAACAATGCAGGGGAGGGAGCAGGCAGCAGAATTGTCTCCCTAGGACCAGGAGGGTTGGGGGGAAGTGGATCTCCCACCAGCCAGGCCATATGGCACCCGGGGACTTGTCTGGTACAGACCTGTTTCTGTCTGTACCAGACAGGCAGCTGTGAGCTGCATTTGGCAGGGCCGGGGAGAGCAGGGTCCCTGTGGGCAGGGCAGAGGCCTCTCCTTCAGGGTTAGGGGAGTCTGGCCTTTACCTTTTCTATGATGCCCCTTAGTGTCTTCAGGGCAGTGCCGCTGTCCATGGTGAGCTTGGCCAGGTTGCTCCTAGCTTTGGTCCTGGCCTGATTCATCTGGCTCTTGAGCTTCTGTAGCTGCTTGAGCACGACCTCCTTCTCCTCACGCACATGCCGGTTCTGCTCCTCGGCCTCCCGCATGTGCGCTGCGATCTTGCCCTTCAGGACGGCAATGGAGTCCTGGCAGGGAAATAGCACCTGGTGCAGTCAGTGAGGAGCTCTGCACATAGGGAACCCCATGACCTCCAAGAGAGCCAGTTCCCTGCTTCCAGGGCCTGGGCGGGACAGCCTCACTGACCTGAATTTTCTGCAGCTTCTTCATCTGCATCTCAATCTCCTTGGAGCTCTTTTCATCCTTCAGCTTGAGGGCCTCAAATGCGATCTTCCGGTCCTCCGTCGCCTCAGTGTAGTTCTTCAGTGCCTGCTGGAACCGCTTCCACAACTCCTCCACTGTGCCCTCCAGCTGCATACGCAGATAGTGCTTCTCCTCCAGGTTCTGAGAGGGGAGACATGTTAGCCCCTCACCCACCCTGAGCCACCAGCCATGCCTGCAGAGCCCACCAAACAACACTCCAGGGCAGGAACCCAAGCAGCAGCCCACTAAGCCAGCAGAGGTGAGGGCCTGGTAGTAGAGATGGATTCTTGCCCATACCTTTGCCTTAGCAAGCCTTGCGCATATAGGAGTGTGGGGAAGAGGAAGAAGCAGAAGAAAGCTGGCTGGTGTCACCAAGTCCCTCCCTTACCCCAGGCTGACATGAAACCGCCTCAGCCCATACCTTGTTCTTGACATCATCCCTGGTGCTCTGGAAGTCCAGCTTGGCCTCGTACTCACTCTCACTGAAGTTCTGCTCCAGGGCCAACAGCACATCCTGCATATAGCGGCTCTCTTTGTCGTGGTGCTCAATGATCATCCTCCTGGGGAAGCAATAGTTGAGCCCAGGGCTTAGCCAGCAAGGCACGCAATGGGGAAGGGAGGGGAACTGACGGCAACCCAGAAAGCTCTGGGGAGCTGCTCCACAATGGGGCTCTACACAAGAGTCGTGAAACCAGGGATGAGGGCTCATGGCCCTGGGACCTCGTCCAGCTGCCTCCCCATCCCTGTGTTCATCAGCTGCCTGCCCGTGTCCTCTGCTGTACCTTTCTGTCTCAAATTCCTTCTTCAGGGTCTCCAGCTCGGTGGTGTAATCCTCATCCAGGTACTTCAGGCGACAGTACTGCAACTGCAGCAACTGGTCGATGTTGTGCAGGTGGCTGCACAAAGCATGAGTATACTGTGCCTCTGCCTCTGATAGGTCCCTGGCCAGTGACTGGACAGAAGACAGAGAATGGTCAAGTGCTGCAGCCCCTGCCCCGGAGCTGTTACCCCAGTGCACTCAGCGGCAGTAAGGGCTACAAGGGCTTCAACTTAGTCACTTGGTTTGCCCTCTGGCAGCAGGTCCTCCTGGGGGCATTGCTAGCCATTCTTTTGGTCCGGTTCAGGGGCACACAGAGCTACATACCCCTCCCAGCTCACTCACCCAGGATCCCTGCTGCTTACCCGGATGACACTATCCTTGCAGTCCACCACCCGCTCAAAGGTCTGGCTCAGGATCTCAATGTCTTTGCGCAGTTCTTTGGCCTTGACTTCCCGCAGCACTGTGCGCCATTGCAGGTTGATTTTATGCATGTTGAGGGTGCTGTTATGCTCCTCCTTGGCCAGCTTGTCCTGCCGGGTGGGTCACAAGCTTACATTGGTTGGCTAGAAGCACATCCCAACAACCTAATGGGATTTAACTGGCTAGATCGGAGCCTCTATGCCCCAAAGCAGTGCACAGGCTCCAGAGACTCAGTGATCTTCCAGCTCAGCAGCAAGACACAGAACTGACAGGGATACTTAACACACCCTTAAGATGGGAGAGCATGGTGCATGAGGTGCAGTCTGTAGGGAGCCTGGCTCACAGGGAAGAACGAGACACCAGAATGACACATGCCTTGGGCACATGAGATACATTTCAGAAGCAAAATTGTAGGGTTTAGCTCAGCGATGGGCAACCTATACTAGTGAGTGGGCTGCACAAGTGGCCCTCCTTCATCTCGGTGGGCCACAAGAATGTTGTAACCAAGATGGTCTCCCAGGATAGCGTAGTTTTGCTAACTGCACTTGTGTACCTGGCATTTGTGGGCTGGGCTGATTGCACTGTAGCAGAACTGTGACTGGATGCAGAGGGAGCGCGCAGCTCTCAGGTCAATGTGGTGTGCAATCAGCTTGTACCTCATTTCATATGCCTTTGCTTTATGTGTGTGTCCCTTTAGTAATGCCGGTAGGAAAACAAAAACAAACAAAAAAATGCTGGTAGAAACCAGCAGAATCTAGCAACTCTGCACATGGACAACAGTAAGCAAAATGACTCGTGTGCCATACACAGAACCCCAATGGGCTGCAGGTTGCCCACCATTGGTTTAGATTTTTTGTCAAAAAGTTGACTCCCTCCCCCATCAGTTTCCTACTCCCACTCCAGGTTCCAGGGGAAATTTGCAGATGGTGCTAAACTGGGATGGGATGAGCAGCCAGACCCCGGCCCCCACCCTGCCTGCACCCTGGGCCTTGCCTTCAGGAACTGGGTGAGCATGTCCTCCTTCTTCTTGCTCAGCTCCTCCTCCGCCAGCATCTTCTGCTGCATCAGCAGCAACTGCTCCTCCTCGCTCAGGGCAGTCGCCTTGCGCCCCTTCTTTGCGCCTCCCCCCCCAGCATCTTCTGCTGCATCAGCAGCAACTGCTCCTCCTCGCTCAGGGCAGTCGCCTTGCGCCCCTTCTTTGGCATGGCGGCTGGGCTGGGGGGGAGCCTGGTGAGATGCTGCCCCGAGATGCACACCCCCACCCTGCATGGGATACCTCCCTAACACATGGAATCCCACCCCAGGGCCCCTTCC